TCCCTACACACATCTGAAACAAATTACACAAAACCTTCTAAGTAACATTTACTCACACTCCAGAGACTCCTAGGACAGAACTCATTTTCATCATTCCTCACTCAACAGAAAGCTTTCAAACCATAGAGCTACACGAGTTTTACATGCTTTCTATCCTTGTTTTTGTTGGCCATGATGACCAGCATTTGATGACACTGTAAAGAACTGTCATCATTTGTGATCATTGCAGTTCTTCCCAGCTGTCAAACCAGCACTTATCTCTGGCCCAATTAGTTTTAAGAACAAACTGAGATTTGGAGCAATTCCTCCCAAATCCTACAGAGTTTGGCAGCAGTGGTGACATTGGCTGATCGTTCTTTTCCTTGCAGGCATCTGGAAATAGTTTATACAACCATCAGAGCCAAAGCTGACTCTCTCATACAATGTTGGGCATAATTCTTGAACCCCAGAGAACCAAGCCAAGGAACGGCATTTTTCTGTGTCTTGTCCCCACTCCTTAAAGGGGACACAAATTTTTTCTCAAAATTATATGGGGAGTAATTGCTAGGAAGATTTCCCCTTAAGTGTTGCTAAGGTATTCAGATCCCTGAAGCAGTCTCCTCCACATCAGCAAGTCCTTAGTTAACTTTGTCTGAATGAAAGCAGAAAGCTATTAAATTTTTTAAAGGGAAAAAAAAAGTCTTACTAGAGGAGTAACAGCCTACAACAGCCAGGGAAATCAGCCCATTGTATCAGTTTTATTTAGAGAAACTGCACATTTGCCCAAATAACTTCACAGCTTGGCTGGGATACTACTACAAAAATACTGCACTAATTGTGGATCCCCAGATAGCTGCTTCCAAAACCTCATCAAAGAATCCAATGATGTCAGTAGGCTCTGCATGCACTCAGGTTCTCCTGACTGAAACTACTTGCAGAACCAGCAACTGTCAGCAGCTACAGCAGCCTGTGTGCCCCGTGGAGAGGGCTCCAGTGCTAGGGCTTCCAACTGTTGAGCTGAAACAGAGCCTGCAAGCCATAATCTACGTGCACATGAAACACTTTATTCCAAGGTCTTCTCTTTCACAGAGAAGACACTGAAAGAGTTGTCTTAGGTTTGAAGTTACCCATCATTTTGGGGAAGCATACAAAGCACACATCAGGTGGATTTTGACACTGGAGAGAGCAGATGCCACTGCCTACTGGCTTTGCCTGCATACAAACCCATAAGCAAAGGTGTCAGAGCTAAGGCATGAATTTAATCACTAATTCCTTCATGAATGCACATAAATTCTCTCTTCACTTCTACTTTGAAGAAAAAAAAGAAGGAAAGCTCATTTTTTGTTCAGTATCTGACAGTCAAGACTAGAAAAGCCATCATCAGCCTCAGATGCAAATGTTCATCTTTGCAGAAAATTACCCAGTGAAGGAAATTAGTTTGGAAACTAATTACATTGTACTCTTATCATAAACCAGCAGAGCATGAATATTTGAGGCCAAATTTCTCTATCCAAATCCATCTTCAAAACTAACAACCATGAAAGCACATTCTATAGACAGCAAAACTTCATAACTCAAGAGGTAAGAAACATTGAATAGTATCTAGCATGGGGATGACCTGAAATACAGATCAAAGCAAAACTGATTTGACAAAATATCCTGTTATTTTCAAGACAGTTTGTTGCACAGCTACAACTCTATGGAAACAGACTGCTTTTTATTGTATTTGAGCAAATCTTTAAGGGAAAAAAAAAATCTCGAAATAATTAACACACCAGAATTCTGTATTTTTAAGAAAGTTTCTCTTACCCTTCCACGCTGGATTATTTTTGGTCGTTTCTGTGCTCTGTTAATAAAAACTGGCTGTGGAGCTTTGGCATTGGACCCGGATATTTGCATCTCAGGATAGATATTATCTAAATACCACTTAAATGACTTGCAATTCAATCTTTTTCTTAATTCTACACGGTCGGTAATATTTCCATAGCTCCTCATCCTCAGTTCAGGTCTCAAAGCAAAATACTGCTCCTGTATTCAAGAGAAACAGGTTGGGGGAAAGGGGAGAAGTTCAGATTATTGATTTTTTGATTTTTTCCTGTTTGTAGAACTAAAAATTTTCATTTCATTTTGCTAGTGCTTTCAACCATTAAGTCTGAAAATAGCATTGGGGAAATTTCAGGCTCTGGATTGCCACAGGAAGTGAGATTTATCTTGCCTAACTCTGAGCTAATCTTTCTAGCCTAATCTTTCTGGTTTGCTTCTTTTCTGGCAAAGATACTTCTCAGGCACAAATTTGCTGACCTCGTTTTGATGCCAACTTGAGGAAGAAGCCAATCAGCCCATGACTTTATTGCCATTGGTAATAAAGACACCCTGGAGTCATCAATTCAGAAACAGGTGCATATCTTGTCATCAGCCTCATCTGACAAAAGTTTCTTGAAATTATTTTGATTGTTCAATGGACTGTTTTCATTCTTATGGGATTCAAGTGTATTTTGCCTTCCAGTTTCCAGCCTTCCATCTTTACAAGGTATCAGGGCAAAGTCACTCCCTATCAGAACAGGCCTATAAATGGGACAATCCCATGAAGCTCAGTGGGACTACACCTTTATTTATGTGAAGAATCAGAACCATCCCCTGGGCTTTCTGTGAATGCTGTGAACAGTGTTATTTTATCATGTTCTATTTTATGATTACACTCAATCTTACAGGCCAGGAAAAGGCAGATTAAGATTCCAGCTCAATCTTACATGCTGTTCAACTCTAATGGAGAGACAAAGGGGACAAACAGGAACTCATGAATGTACAATGTGGCACGAATACTATTGCCAAAACTAGAAGAAAAATCCCTTTGTAGAGTCTTTAATTCCAGCTAGATTTACAGAGCTCATGGAAAAGGCATTTTATTTGCACATTAACTTGTTTACTAGATGTTATTTAGAAATTGGTTTTCAGGGCACTGAACAATGCTGTTTTGTTGGATTAATCTCTCGGAGACATCTGGAATTTGCTTACCATAATGTGGTTCTGACAGTTTTCAATTACCTCCTGCTATCTCTGATATTCAGATAACAGACAGAATCATCTCTAGACAAATTACACACCTGCCTTTATCAAGATCTTTGAGCATTTGGATGTGCTTGATATATCCCTGCTATTTTAATAGCAGAAGAAAGGGAAGTATTACATATGTTGACTGTTGGGCAGCTCTGAGGAAGTTTGGAGACAGACTGGGCATCACTATTAGAAACTAGTCTGCTTCAAAAAAAGTAGCTCTGCTATTCTAATTGTCTCTTTCCTGGTTCAAGTTCAAATTTTAGTATCCTGCCTGTTATGTGTTATTCATTACCAGTGTATACATGAACTTACTTTTTACATTTTGCTTTTGACAGCTGTGAAAATTTTGCTGTATCACTTCCATTATGCAATTTAATTTACTAACTACTGCTCTTTGCTACAAAACAGGTCCTTCAAGTCTTATCTTTGTACTATTTGTCATTAGATTACTTCGATAAATTGTACTGGCCCTAAATATTTGTATTATACTTATAAAACCAAAAATATTTCCAGGCTTGCCTTCCATACATAAAATCTGTCATAGTGACAGTCTCTGGCAGCTACCAGAGAATTAGACCAGAAACAGCTGGAAACACTCAGGACACAAATCTGTGATAAGAGAACACTAGAATCAGCAGTTCATGTCCTCTGCTGGGTAAAGAGGTATTAGCTGGAAATTATAACAAAGAATCCAGTCCAAGCTTCAGAGAAAGCCATCATTAATCACAAAACAACTGTGCCCAGACACCAGTAAAAGGCAAAGTGACAGATCAAATCTACCAACACATTATGGAGATGGAGAACGGAGATAAAAATTAATGACCTCTAATAGGTTCCTCGGGCTGATGAAACATCAAGATGAAGGATGGGGTTTGAAACACAAACCTCTAAAGAATATAAAGTTAATAAAATATGTCTTGCATAGAAATTGTAGGGACCACCAGAGATGGCCACACAAGAAACTCTATGGTCTCAGAGGGCAAAATGTCAGAGTATCCCAGAGACGAGGGCTCAAACACCTATCTATGCTCAAAAGCATCAGTATCAAGAACTGAAGACAAGGAAGGAATATCCTTGCCCTCGAATCAGAATTCTGATTGCTCTGCCACAGCAAGACAGACTAAGAATCAGACTGCTAATTAAAGCAGAAAGCAAACAAGCAGCCACCAAAATCCCTGTTTCACCAACATGGAAACTACCTGAAGGCACACAGCAGTGTGTGGCTGCCATCAAATACTGATTTGGACACGAAACAATGCAGAGCTTACAAAAGCTCATTCATCATCTTTTACCTCATTAAAAAGGCATAAAACTATCTCCTGCAGGCAGCAAAGTAACAGGGTGGAGATTTGAGCACTCAAAAGCCAAATAACAATTCTCCAGCATTTTAGGAACTCATATAAAAATTAACATTAGGAAAATTGGACTACGTAAGGAAAACCCTATTAAAGGGGTAACAGATCCCACTGATCCTTTGACAAACAAGCCAGTTAATAGCCTTATCTCACGACACAGAATGGTCTCTTACCTTATATTCATCCATCCACACATGTGCCAGCCGCAGGGAGTTATGAGCCATCGTATCCTGTCCCCCTGGTGAGCCATAGGGACGCCTCTTACGGAAAATGTGTCCCACCCTGGAGCAGGGGATGATCAGCAGTCTGCCACCACACATCCAGATCTGTCCACACAAAGCAGAACATACCTCATTGTTCATATACTGACAAGGCTCACTCCCTCCCCTGCTTCAAGGGATACTTGGGTAGGGTTATACATTATGAAAGGATTAAGTGTCAGCAACATTGTCCTACATGTCATGTTTTCTGACAAATTATATTAATTAAACCTTTGGATTAGAAAAAGCTGGTTTTGGCATATCATCACACTTCCCACATAACACATCATGGCAAAAAAACAAACAGAAAATTCTCGAAAATGTTATGCCCTAATGACCTATCAGGAAACACTGAAATATATGGGCTAGGATTCATTCTGAAGATTAAGATACTCAAATTGATTTACCTATACAAAAATTGTCCACACTTATGCAACAGATAAAGATCAGTCCGTATCATCAAGGGAGTCCAGAGAGCTCTTCAACCAAGTATGAGCACTTACTTGACACAGCTGTTTGTTTCTGTTAAGCATGTGGAACTCAGAAACACTGTTCCCATTCAGATACCACATTTAGGAGCCTTAATCCAGTTCCATGGCACCATGGAACTACATTTTATTTACTTCCATTTCTTTTTTAGTTTCTTTTTAAGCTTCGGCTTCAGCAATTTATGATCATTGGCCCTTTGCTGGACTAATGTGTACTCCAATCTCAGAAAATCTTCTCACATTAGCAGTTTACAACCAAGTCACTATTAAAACACCTCCTAGAAAAGATAAAGACTCAACTTCTTTACAACTCTCCCCCAGGGAGACAGGGACTTCCAGAGGCTATAAACCTCTCTGAACTTGCTTCATTTTTTCAGTCCTTTTTATTGAAACTGTGTATTACGAGGGAACAACAATAATTTCCTCACACTCCATATGCTCCCATTCAGGTATCTAATAATTATATTTTGCACTGAAAACTTGATTTTATTTATTCAGTACATATCTCTTTAAAGCCACTGAAATTTGTGAAATGCTAGTTCTTATTCTGGAACTCTAATGCTGATTTCTATAATGACCCAATCTGACAGATTTCTCTAAAGTTTGGGGGTGGTGTGTTTGGTTTTGGGTTGTATGTTTTTATGCTAACTTCACTTTTTAATCCCCTTTTCATATTTGTCATGATAGCATATCATTTTCAGGCAGACTCTTGTCAAACCTGTCGATGAATCCCCTTTGCAACAGTGAAGAGATAGACAAGACATTGAGCATAAAAAGTTGTTTTTCATTCAGTGAAGTGACAGGGAAGATGAGAAAAAATACAAGAAGCCCAATGAAGCATCACTTTCAAATCTTCTGATTATGATTTTCTCACTGTTTTTCCGACCAAGCTGACTCTTCTACATTACTCTTAATTCAGTTCCAGAAAATTTACATTTCCAGACCCTCAAAAAGGAGGCTGAAATACCTAAAAAGCCTCATACATAGAATCATAGA